AAAATTGAAATAATGAGTTAATATAAACATGGTGATATATGTTTCGTTAAGCAATTACATACCACATTCGTTTCTGTGTTCAAGGATCCCACGGGTATAGAGCAGAATGTAAACTAACTGGAAAATTTATTCCTGCTACCAGCGAAATTATAAAAGATTTGTTATCTCAAATACATTAAGCACAGAAAGAGGGGCTATAAGGCAAGTGATTAATTTTAGAGTACTCGAATTTAAAGTTGGTTATCACTGATGAACTTTGTTTACATTTCATGCGCAATGGCATTAATTTAAGGGAGATCACGTTAATTGCCTAGACTTGCTCACAGTATACACAAGGGACAGAAACATGATGGATCAGAAGTAACTACAGACTGTTTAAAAATAAATAAAAGGCAAGTAAAAACTTCAGAATAAATGCACGACTAAGGAAAATGACAGTTCTGAGCACTTTAGTTTGTTACACTAAATCACACTATATGTAACTTGTGTCAGACTAAATGACTCTGTGGCCTAAAATGCAGAAACTGTTCTGAAAATGGTTTCCAATGTGAACTACAGACAGATTTCTTTTATTTCTGGGCATCAGCTTTGGTTGAAATGTTATTAAAGGCTCCACCATTCACAGAGCAGAGCTAAGCAGATGTCATAAGGTATCATGATGCTGATCATGACAGTCTAGAAGTGAACTTCACGTAAATCTGCTGCCTATATGGACAAACGAATGTAGTTCAAGTGGGTAGCTGCGTCAGCATGCGTAGGCTGCAAAGGAACAAGTAAAGGTTTATTCCATGCTGAAAAGAAGAAAAAAAACAATGTTTCTGCTGTGGAGCCTTCTTCGAGTGTGAGGAAGAAGGCTCCACAGACGGAACGATGTGTTTCTTTTCATCTCTTTTCAGCATGGAATAAACCTTTACTTGTTCCTTTGCAAGCCAGTGTAATGTAGACTTCAGAACCTGAAATGAGGTGTTGAAGGTTAAGAAACAGGCTTTTTCAAATGAAATTCAAAACAATGTTATCTAAGAACTCAACATTCTTAACTAGTAACTATTTATCAAACGCCATGATGTATGCGAGTGAAAAAGTTGCTATTTTCCCTAAAACCCAAACCATTAAATATAAAAACTGCATTAGGCATTTTGGACTATGTCTTCAACTCACATCTCCCTGTAATATCATACTATCAAGACACATAAAACAGAATATAATATAAAACGATGATAATCCGCTCATAAGATCTTCCTCATACCCTTTTTAATAAAATGATCTGTTAGTTTATTGCTGTAATTTTTTTCTGTCATATCACGTAATAATCCTAGGATTGATTTGAAACAGACAATTGGGCCTTCAGTCTTGACTACACTGCCAATTAACACCCTGCTGAGCAAAGCCTACATCATGTTTGCTTAAAAAAGCATTGCCTGATTGTTGTTGAAGATGTCTTCAATTTATCTTTTTTTTCATGACTGAGGATGTCTTAAAACCAACTAGAGACGCATATTAAAATGCAAGTATGTTTGCTATATTCTCTGTCTCCTGGGAAGTAGTGTCCTAATTTTTCTGCCTTACAAATGTACATGATAAGGTGTCTTCGTCTTTCTCTTGGTGCAAGTACATATGATGGGAATATTATAATTTAGGTTAATGCAGCAGGATTAGTTTACACACTTAAGGTCTTTTCTATGTGTTCACGTAGCTTCAATGTGTTCACAAATTTGTGCATGCAAAAAGAATGTTTCTGGAATAAAAGCAAATCCCAAACAGGTATGCAGGTAAGAAGTTTCAATATTAATCTTTGTTATTCGATGAAAAATTGCTTATCTTCCTAGATGCATTACCAGTAGCTGCCATTTTTACCTCAGTTCATGTACTTTTCAAAAGCCGTACCACAGAAAGGTTTCCAGAAAAGGGGGCAGCCGTTTAAATTCGACAAACACATTTGTAGACCTCACGGATCATAAACCCCAGTTCAGTTGGTCAGAAACGTTTTCTATTCCTCTAAATAGCCCAGGACTTCAGCAGCCCCCCGTATTACTCAGTATTTGGTTTCGCCGTGGTACCAATGCAAATTTGGACTAAATATTTATGTGCACGGAAGTGTTATTCATCGTGATAAAGAGGACACAATAAGATAATAAACGTCCTTGTTTGTCCGGGTTAGTTCATTCACAGAAAGAAATGGGTATTTTTGACATCACAATTACAGGTTAAAGCAGATGGAGCGTGACTAAATTCATCTGGCACTTCCATTATTGACTCTATGTCTCCTCAACTCTAGAGGTACAAGCAAGATATGAGAGACACATGAAAAGCAAGGATATTACTTGACCAGAACTTAGAGGACAACCTGGCAATGCGGGTGAGGTAGATGACAGCATCATGCAAACGAGTCAAAGGGTAGCCTGTATTGACAATGGGGTTGGTGGAGTGGCGCTTGTCCAGACAGCACCGAGAACACAATGTGTAGTCCTGGATTTCCACACGGCTGAACAGATGACTGCAGAGGGCTGAGGTTAGATTCGCCTTAGTTACTCTTTGAAAGATTTGAAAAGAAAACCCCTCACTGCGCCACTTCCAGAGCTTGCCTTTGAATGTCAAATATTTTAATAAGCAACGTAATCCCATAATAAACTTGCACGTGCCTTTTTAAAGTTCATTTGCCGAAACCCACAGTAACATGCATGACGCGAAAAAAAATCTTAGAATAGCACGTGTAAAAGAAAAATTCACCAGAGCTAGAAATTTCTAGATTGAAAAGCATACGAGAGTTCTTCTACTTGAGCTGGTGTGCATCTGTCACCTCTGATTTGATCAGACTCGAGAAGCTATAGTATGAAGGCAAGAAAAATACTAACAGTACCTGCGGCAGGGAGTGGTCTCTCTAACGAACAACGTTGCCAATTAATGTTTTTTCTGATAAAAAAACAAATATGACTTCCCGAGGAGCTCTAGCATAAAACGGCTCACTTTTATGCCAGACAGAACCAGAGAGCTCCAGTACATAGTTAACCACGGGTGCCATTTCAACGCAGCGCGGTGAGGGAAGCGATGTCTGGAAACGCTTTTCAATCAACGTGAATTATTGTACAACTCAAGGCAGAGCTGAATTCACAAGCACCTCACGGGACTAGTCAATAGTCACATAATGTTCGATATTATTCTATAGAGCGTTTTCCCAATTCTGAAATTATTACAGTGCGATACAATCCTCGGGAGAGATCAAACAGGGATCAGTCCAAAAAGTAAAAATATAAACAGCTAAAAATCCTGCTAAATACAGGCACCGGCTCGACAACACAAATGTTCGTATTTAGCGCGATAAAACAAACGAAACTCTTGATTTTCAACCACTTTGTTCACCTGTTTAAATTGATTCTAGATTACATCTACTGCGCACTTTCCGTGTACTCCTGTCATTCCGTTAAGCAGAAGATGTTAATAATATCGTGCACAATGACTTTAAAACTTAAAAAAAAAACACTATCAGAAACCCGGTGTACACTATCAAAACAAACGCTGCGTTCTAGAGTTAGCTGTGCTTCCTTTAGGAATAAATCAATAGTTGCATTTAGGATTTGGGGTTGCCTAAACCTCCACATCTTCCGACGTCTCTGCAATTCGTCGTATTGTCAGGCAAGTTGTGCCTGTTCTAAATCGACTTATTTTGTCAAGTATGGGCAACGACAGTCTAATGAAAAGACAGGCACGAATTCTCGTTTTTGTGAGATGAATCTCAGGTTTCCTGGAATACCTCCTGAAATCACTTTCGAACAGGGCTATGATTCATAACGCCTCGACTTCCTAAACATCGCACCGGCTTCCTCGAAAAGCCGTGCATCCAACCCTGATGATTCGTCGAAACTTGCGCAAGTGGAGAGTATCCCTACGTGACAGCAGCGCGACCCTATACATTATCAAGACAATACACAGCATTTCTTAAACCACGCAAACGATTTCACCCTGACAGCCATTATTTACCCGTAAGCCACAAAACGTTAAAGGCGATTTTGGTCAGACTACTGTTTCGACATACAAAACTACAGTATATTACACGCAGTTCTGTCCGTGCTCGTGTCACGCTAGTCGGGACGCTGTTTGCTTGCCATTCAACAGCTGGAAAGCACTGCTTTTCTTGCCCCGTCTGGGTGGTACAGCTTGAACGGCGAAGTTTGTGCTCCACTCGAAGCTTCATGAAGAGGAAAATAATTTCAATCCCCCCCAAACGACGCCTGTATAGTCCAGACCCTCTCCAGCAACCTAACTGCGTGAATATCAAATGCGGTGTGCCACTTTTAACGAATAAGGTGAACAACTAATGCGTTACCATCACAAGACGAGACGAACTCAAGAGATTATTACCTGAAAATGTATACATTTCCACTACCGCACTGGTGGAGCAACGACTTTCCCTGTAGCTACAGTAGACATGAATGTAACAATGTTTCCTCCTTTCAATACTAATGCAGAAAGTTTGTATCTTTGATAACCACTCACACGTGCTCGAAACAACGTTGTAGGACCTGCCGATTTAGGCTGGCATCTAAAATATCTGCCAAGGTTGAGAGTAGCCTAAACAACATTGGTCCAAAATTGTATTTAAAATGATATATAGTCTAGATCTTTAAACGGGAAATGGACTTTTAACCAGTCGGATTTCTGCCTTTTATTCGTTGACGGAAAAAATAAAATAAAACGTATTTTGTCAGTTAAGTCCGGTAAAGCTGTGCAACAACGTGACGAACTATATAACCATAAGCTAATAGATAAGGTCATTCAAAACGTAGCACTGAAGGTGCCGTTAGGTAGCCTGTGCTTGAATTGGTCTCGTCTGAAACCGAAGTTTGCCAGACTCCACACAATCTTCAGACTGGGACTCTACAACCTGAATGATGGTTCACCCAAGACGTTAGCTACCGAAAAAAGGCATTAAAAAAATAAGAAAGGAACAGTTAAACACCGATACGGTTAATGAAAGGAACTGTGAAGATCCAAACTGAACCTACCTCAGATTTTTGAATTTATTCTCTTTCTTGTTGAGTACCCCCGGCACACAGTTAGTGAGTTCGGTCCAGTCCGCATGTAACCCACAACTCCAACCGGTAGAGAACCGTGAAAACAGCCAGGTCTCTTTCCTGTTCGGACGGTAGCAGGTACACTTCTTCTGTCCGGGTCTGCAATCGCAGGGAACCTCTAACCTCACATTTTGGACCAAATGCCTCCCAAACGTGGTTCCCCCGGTTTTCTGGATGTGCAGGAAAACGATCACATCTTCCCCTTTGATTTGAAAATCCACGGTACGGTCCAGGTCCCTGATAGGAAAATAGTACTTCTTCACATAGTGAGGATCCGGAGTCGGAAAGATATCCGTATCGTCTTCCACAAGGTACCCGTGCGGAGACCCGAAGTTCATCATCCCCGGAGCCACGTACTGATACAAAATCAGCATGAAGAAGATGGATCCGACAACGATCAACAAAAATTTACTGGTCCTCTCAACCATGTTCCTTCCAATGCGGTTCATATGTTACCATCTCCCAGTTAACAGAGTCGGGGGTAGTTGGTACTAAAAAACTAAGCCCTGCACTGTTCCCATACAAAACACAATCAGAGGTCAGGTCAGAGGACCACGGCTTTAAAGTTAGACTTTAGATACATTGTATCCCATCGCCGGGCAGTCTCAGGGACATCTGACCAATCCAAGTCTACGAGCAATAGGCGACATCGAATTTGATCAAATCTTGCCAGAGTATTTTCCCTCTTTCACTGTTAAACAGTGTACAGTTTAAAGTCCTTCCTCCAAACCACCATCATGAAGCTCTGAGCCCAGCATGCACAGCGACACCCACTTTTTCAGCACACTCTAGCGCACACACAGAGACACACAAGACGAGGGGGGAAAGGATACTGAAGTGCATTTAATACTTAGGTTGGCATGCATCGCTCGCGCCAACATGACAGGAATCGGTGAGACGCAAAACCTGTCCTGTTCAAGACGCATCAGTGTTCTCACCGACGTTTTAAAGGAAATGGGTTGATTCTTGTGGCTTCTTAATCGTTTTGCTGACTGTTCTGTGCGTTTCTGCCACTATTTTAAACTTTTTGGCTTGGTGACGTGTATACTCGCATACTGTAAATATATACACACGGGCGTATGAGGCGTTCCACCGGCTCCTGACATTGACTCTACAGCACTTTTCAATAATAATAATAATAATAATAATAATAATTGCTTACACTTATACAGCACTTTTCTGGACACTCCACTCAAAGCGCTTTACAGGTAATGGGGACTCCCCTCCACCACCAATGTGCAGCCCCACCTGTGCGGATCGGTGCCAAAACGTATTTTATTATTTATTTTTAATTAAACAAGAAAATGCTGGCGGGGGCAGTGACCGTTGCTGCCTGGTAGCTCTTGGGTTTAGCTGCAGATTAGGGTGTCTTCTGTTTGGGGTCTGCGTGTTTTTCCCACGTCCGTGGCGCTGTTGTGTGGGTGCTCCAGATTCTTCCAGCGTCCCTGGCTAGGTTAAATGATTCCTCAGTTGTTCCAGTCTGCATGCTGGAAGTGTTGAGACCAGTGTCCCATACGGGATTGTCTGAGTCGTCCCTTACAAAATTAAGCGGCTATTGATAGTAGCTTAATGTTTTGATATTTCACGACGCGCTGTTTCAGTTTGCAGCTTCTCTAACCCCACAACACTTTTGTCTCTCTCTCTATCTGTTTCGTTTCTCAATTTTATCCCCTCTGCTCATTCAGTTTCCGCACAAGCCCTCTGGGGGATTTGCAGGTACCCCCCTATCCTCTATGCTAAATGGCAGCCGTTGAGCCTGGCACGTCAATGGCTAATCATGAACGATGCCACCGACAATCAAATGCGCTCACAAATGCGAGGAGGGTAGTATTATACACAGAGCACGCACACGATTCTTAAAATGTCGTTGAAAACCAGATTGTGCAATGAAATATACATAGCAACTTGCACCTTTGGAGGTCATTTAAGGAAACTAAATTATATATATATGTTTTAAAATAAAGATACACGTAGGCTATTTATTTAATACAAATTGTATTGCATTTTACGTAATAATATTGCATGAGACCACCAGTCCAATTTACTGCTGGATAAATGGGTACTTTTCAGTTAGTCTCTGCAAATGTTAATTTGTTTTCAATTGATTTATCTGGTCAAATAAAGGATCGATTAAAACATTGTGTTCAACTTAGTATTAACAGCTACAACCGTCACAATTTAAACAAGGCTAGATTTTGCAAGAACTGCGTGTGCAGCTTTCAACGTCAGAAGATTTCAAGGTCGTATTTCTTCCCTTTTTGTTTTCGTTTATGAGTTCTCATTTCTATATGTAGTTCACTTTCACCGTTGTCGCTTTTCTTGATATTTCAGGGGGGAAAAAATCCAATATTTGTTGAAAAATACATGCGTTTCAACTCGTATTTGAATTTCAAAATACTGTCACACTTCAACAACTTTCTTTTTTTCCAAAATACAATAAATGCCGGAAGGAACACACAAAAGAGTTTTGTGGATTTCAGTAAAAACAAGAAAAAAGACATAGCAATATTGCAATCTTTATCTACGTTAGAATTAAGTTACTAGTAATGTAAGCACTACAGTGAAATATTGTATAATCTATTTCAAACACCTAACAATAATTAAATCATAATCCGTTTTACGGCAAAACCCTTAATTAAAATGCCAATCTAGGATAAATGCGTTTCATGTATTCTGTAGAAACTGAATTACTACGAACAGAACTGATTTTTTATTTTTTGCGACTACAATCATTTTTGTTTTGCTGTTGTTTTGAATAAACAGTCTCTCAAACAAGAAGATTGATGTTTTATGTCCGTGAAACGCAGGATCAATACCGTAGGAAGCCGTGAAATGATAGGTATGTGGAAGCTGCTGTATACTTCTAGAGAGCTAGAGGGCAGCAGTGGGAAATACCAGTGCTGACAGGCTTGCAACTTGTTAGACCTTGTCATTGTTCACTCTCTTAAAGGGCTAGTGTACCTTTTCCGATGAAGTTAGTCTATTAAGTACTTTTCATTCTCTCTTCATTGGAGTTATGAAAAATAAACATACAAGGTCAGAAACGTTATTACTGACACTTTTAATTGTTATTATAATTAATAAGAATATAATTTTCAAATTCGATATATACTGTATATATTTGCAGTGCCTTGACAGAAATGAGCATGTGTGTTGTACACTGTATAACTAAACTGTAGGTAAGGTGTATCTTATTAGATACATGTTTCCATCTGCTCTGCTTGCCAGTGTTAGCTATGGCCTGCTGATGATGTACATGTGCTGTCCATGGCTGCTGACTTTGAATTTATTGTTCCAAAAAACAAAATAAAAGTCTATCCAGCGATTATGCCCCATTGCATTGTTAAATAGAGCTAATTAATGTTTGTGCCCACAGTTCATAGGAACTACATGTGTTTAACACATGCCATAACCCTAGAATGTGTTATGTGTAAGATTTATATATATATATGTGTTTTGACCACCTTATAGTGTGATCTTGGAAAATAACAGTTGTTAAGTAAGGTTAGGACTGAGATGGGAGAATCAGATTAATGATGTAAGTGGTGTTGATGGACCAGTAGGTGCAACTCTTCCCCCCTAGATCAGAATTCCGAGAAATTCCGAGAATTCCAGTTTGGGGACACTGTGGTGAAGGAGGTGTTGATGCTGGGACAGGATGAATGCTGCACACCCCTGATGATGACACTGCGCTTCACTGAGGGTTGAGGTGGGTCTACTCTTACAGTATGTGAAACATGGGCTTATAAGTGCTCCATGAAGCTCATAGATTTCCATGAAGCTCTATGAAGAGCACTATATAAATGCATACTAGTAGTATTAATAATGCAGTACTGTATATCATAGTCTGCCTTTGGCTTTTGTTGCAAATGTGATAGTCAGGAAGTTGTGCAGGGGGGGGGACTGAGGGATAGATACATGTGCTCAACAAGGATTTTGCTATCTTTTGCTTTTATGCAAAAAGGATGGACAAAATAGGTAATATTCCAAATAATAATGGTCAAAACTATAATTCATTAAGGATTAAGTGATATTCACAGCACAAAACCATTGTATTCAATTTGAATTTGAAAAATAAGAAGAGCGATGTTATGAATTCCCCAAATACAAAATGGGATACTAAGTAAGGAAATCAACAGTTGAGAAAGAGACAGCAATTTCGTGAGATATGTCTCTGAGGGTTTTTGATGAGCATCTACAGCATGTTCTTGGTGGTTACCAAGGTTGCCAGAAATAACATACAATTATATGTGTTATTGAAAACTTCATTGGTTGCTCTCTAAAAGCTCTTAATTTGGTTAGTGAGTTATTTAGCTGATTGCTTTACTTTTAAAACACTGCACAGCACTGTGCATTTATTGTCCCGTTGTTCACTTGTAAAAGTAATCAATTTAAAAATCTTACCTACAGCATATGGATCTTTCAAGGTATGAAAATGTAACCACTCAGGTACTATGGAAATGATTTTCAAACAGTGATAGATGCAAATTAATAGAGACAAGTTTATTTTTTTGAGGTAAAGACATATCAGTTGCCCAGTTTAAGACAGAGTTTTACAGTTCACAACAACTAGCCTTGCATCTGTTTTCTGCCTTTATTATTTATTCATTGCTTTGCATCGACAAAATGCCAGACATGCAAGTCCATGTTGGCACAGACCCTTTTCATTAAGACAAATGAATGCCTTATCTACTCACAGTTACCCTGTATTCATGAGCCTTTTCTAAAGCACAAAGAAGTGAACATTCTGATACCTGGTTCTTCCTCACTGAGCGGTAATTTCTACACCTTTATTTGGAACTATTTCAATGCTGTATCAGCTGTGAATGTATTTATACACTGGATATTTGCTTTGCAATAATAAAACGTAAAACATGGGAACATTTAAAAAATTGGTTACTTTTAGACCATGGATTTGTTATTCTTGGAACATAATATGTTGGCATCAATTCTGGCTAACATTTTAAACCAGAAGTTGGAATGAAGTAAAGCAGAAACGTCTGCAGAAATAGTTTGAAATGTGTTTAAATCACAGTGTAGTCTTGTGCAACATATGTGACTTTTCCAGTTTCTTAAGAAGTTGTGATCACCACATATTGCGAAGTTTTATCAAAATATTATTACTTATCTCTTCTTAGAATGAGGATTGTTTTTGATTTATATTCCATTAGGCCTGAGGGTGTCAATCATAGATGATCAATTCGATGAATCGGAATGCGAATGACATAAGTACAGCGATGCAAATGTATTCAGTAATGGGATTGGTTCTGAGTTTCACAGTAAACCAATATACAGTATATTTAGCCTCATAGCGATGCTTACACATTTTGTAAATACAGAATGTATTCCTTTTAGAAACGTTTTGTGCATAGTAGTGCAAATACAAAAATGACATGTGGTGCTAATGTTTCGTGTTATGATATCAAGGCACCTTTGATGTTGCCCCCTTCAAAACAAACAGTTGTAATTACTTCACTGTAATAATCTTCAAATGGACCAGCAAGCATCAAACCCCTGCCCATAAACTTCTCAGAGAAACAAGGAAAATATGCGTTGACCTTTAAAGCAACAGAAGTAAAAATAACGCACTTTCGTTTGCAAAACTGCAGCCTGAGTTAAACAGTTGTTATTAATTATAGATTTTGCCTGCTGACGTTATGCAAATATGCAAATTGATACTGCTATATATTGAAAATTGCAGGCCAATTACTTTAATAAGATAGATATGATGCGCTAAATGTTACCTCCTAGTCTTGCATTCATCTCAAGTGT